TGCTTTCAGCCTGCACAATGACCAAGTTGATTTGTTGGTGAGAGTGCAGTTATGAGGAGTTCCACCTTTTGGAAAGGTAAGATCAAATGGCCAAGAGAAGTGGCTGGAGCCAAAGATGAATGAGGTGAGTCACGTAAATTAATACATGGACCAGAAGGATCTGTCTTGAAACTTCATTGAACGGCTACCTAATTGGCCAACTTGGCCAATAACGTGGGCATTTTCTTCCTAACTGCCCAATCTAGGTGTGTGTGTGTGTTCAGATTCAAATTCCATTGCATAAATTTGAGACTTTTAGAATCTTAGATGATCAGGTCTGGTCAGAACCTTTATTGTCATAGTCTCACTTGAGAAAAATGAGAGTCAAAAAGATGAAGAGGTCTTTCAGCTGGGGTAGGAGACAAGATTGGAGCAGGTACTCAAAATCACACTAAACCACACCGCAGCCATTAGCTAATTAATCTTTCATTTCCTCCTACGGGATGACCCAGAATTCAACTTGGATTGAGGTTAAACAGACTACACTTCATCAGCTTTCCATTTTTTACTCGTTCTTTTTCCCTGGTCTTAACTTTCTCCTCCCATGAGTCCTCCTCTTCCTTCTATTCCATTTTTAGAAAACTTTCTTCACACATGTTTCTTTTGTACAGTGTTCATGATATTTCATCCATGTGGTTAATTCTCTCATCTGGATGACTGTTGGAGGAGATTTTTGTATTATTTTTGGCTTGGGCACCATTTCCTGCCTCTGAGTGACAACAGAGACTGCCTCCCCAAATGCCCCATAGTACCGATAAGAAGAGCTGGCAAAGGGCATGATGGAAGTCACAAGGAGAGGTGGAGACATCCAGGCTCAAGGGAATCCAACTACCTATATGGCAGGATTCTGATAACTGAGAGGTGAACTAACGATTAATTAATTCTCAGCATTCATTCATCATGAGGAAAGTACTTGATGTTTGGGGACTCAGGATGGCTACCTTGACTAATAATGGCAGTGGACTGAGAGGTAACACATGTAAATTTACTCTTCTCACTGTTTCTCCAACATCTGATGGGAGCCTGGACAGCAGTGGTCAAGATGTCTGAAGTTCCTGGCATAATTTGAGGTCAAAGTATGCAAAGATTGTTTCCAAGTGGTCTAAACAGGGGGAACATCACTCACTGTAGAGACTTCTCTCACTGCCTTACAAGAACTTGGCTTTGAGAGCACACAGCATCATCTGACTATGTATTGTCAACCTTGGACAGGTTTGCTCTTCTGGGAATCTGCTGCACGTCAGTGTGCACAAGATGGTGATGCCTGGCGGGAGAGAAGTGCAGATGAGGGCCAATAAGGCTTTTTCCAACGCTGAGAATCTGTGGATTGCACCTTCCTACTGTTTATCCATTATTTGGCCCCAGGCAAGCATTTTATAAATGGAGATTTAGCAGATGGTATGCATTTAGAAAACAGGTCAAAAGAGCCCCAGCCTTCTGAAATCAAAAAGCAAAATGAAAAAAAAAACATAGAAAAAAGGTAAGGGGTCTGTATGACTTCTAAGCTTTAGGTGTGTTTTAAGGGAGCTAATGAGACAATGCATCCATCTGCTGGGGCAGGGAGATAGAGAATGTATGATTTTCCAAGCAGGAAGGAGGAAATGGAGTGTGCAACTGCTGCTACTGCTAAATGGGGTCTCTAATTTCTCTCTCCATAATGGTAATGACTTACATTTATATGGTGCCTTTCATCAGCTCTGATCTCAGGGAGCGCTCAAAGTCCTCTTTTGACTCAGCTCCTGAATCTGGTCCTCAATAGGCTAAAGGATGACATCTATATTTATGCCATATCTATTTTAGAGAAGATTAGCTCATGTGAAATAAGCCATTAAGATGCTATGGATGTGAATCCAGAATGGAGAAGGAAAGGTGGAGGGATACAAACTGTGAAAAGAAGTACAGATGCTTATTTCCAATCATGACCTTCAGTATCATCCAGCTGAAGAGACACTGTGACTCAGATAGTCTCTGAAAGATCTTAATGCCTCCAGTAACCTTAGCCTCATCCCATCTGCCTCCCAACATTAAGGTGAATGCTGCTTAGGGAGTCTTGACAAACTCTGACATTGGGTTCCAAGTGCTACTAAAGACATTTTTTCCATGATGCTTTAGGGGTTCAGAAAGAGAAGAGACATTTAGGGCACAGGCAAGGAGAGGTTAAGGCTTGGAAGGGAGGGGAATGATAGATAAGCTAGTCTGTTCCAGTAAGATATTCAGTAAGATGCATAGGACAACAGGCATAACTCATGCAGACAGAGAAGCCACCAACAATTATGGCTCATCAAAATGTTGAGGAAAAAATAAACTTGTGTAACACAGAGACAGGCACAAAGCTGTGGCCAAAATAGCTCAGAGAACTGGATTTCAGTATAGATAGACGTGGAAACCCTGTCCAATGTAGATTCTTCCAGGCTGAAATTGAGAAAAAGTTAGGCCATAATGAATCCTGCTTCATCGGTTGGGAATTGAATAAAGGGATGTTTTCTTGTCCTAATTACTTTCTTCTGAAATCATCATATAATCATTGTGCAGATGCCTTAGGGGAATGCATGTAATCAGAGGATGGATGGGATTCTAAGAGGAAGGGAGATGGTGGTATATAGGAGCACAGGGCTGAGGACTGGGACCTATATTCTAGACTTGGCTGTAACTAGTTCGGTGACGTGAAGTTAAGCTGCAATTCATGGGTAAAGCCCTGGGCTTAGAATCAAAAGTGATAGCTTTCTGAACCTGGGCTGGTCACTTGATCTCTGAACCTTAGTATGCTGATACGTAAAACAGAAATGAAAATAGCCCTCTTCTAAGATTGCAGGAAGGGTGTTATGAAGACATGTATGTGCAATGGCTTTAAGAACTAAAACACACTATGGAAAGAGGTCTAGCCCAACCCTTTGAGTTACAGATTGGCAGACAGTGCTCTAAAGAAGCAGAAAGTCATGACTATCGTCACACAGAGGGTCGTAACAAAGTCGAGCCCAGTTCTTAGGCTGAATTCAGCTTTCTTTCATGACATTGGCATGATGCCTACTTCTTCCCACCTCATGTGGCTGGCCGAAAAACAAACAAGAAGATGGAGAGGGAGAGGGAGGGGGAGAATTTTAAATAAAGTAATGACCACCACATGAACGCAAATACAAGGAAAATTGTATGGATAGAATATGAGCACCTTCAGGAACACACAGGGACTACAGATGAACCCCTGGCTGTGAAACTTCAACCAGCATCCAGCAATACAGTCCAATCACAAAAAATACCTGGTAAGATTGCTGCGAAACCTAATAAGCAATGATGGCTAGTTTTAGCTCCTGAGATCTTGCTTCTCAGGCATGTTAAGTTAGGATTCTTGGTTAAGTTCTTAATAACATACCACCCTTATTTTCTAGCTACACAATGCCAAGAAAATAAAAAGTAAGAATACCCTCTGTCCACGGCTAGTTTTGGTCCTATGGATCAATTCCATCATGCTGAAAGAGAAAGCAACAGTATTTCTCATGTGAAAGTTTAATCTGGCAACTTCTGTCCAGGTGGGCTTTGCACAAAAAACAAGCACCTTCAACAAAGCCTGATGATGAGAAATGGGGAGACCCAGATAAGCACGTCCACTTCAGGCAGACATGAAATGTGAGCCATTTATCACCCTCAGCAAATGTAGGAGACACGACCACTAATTGGTCTCTTCATCAACCAAGGAGAACGTCCACCACTACAGCAACTCACAAGTTAGTGGCAATTTGGGGCAATCTTTAAGTGGCTTCTAACTCATAATCATATTTCTTCCTGAAATCTGCCGACCTAGAAAATATCTCTATTCCTCATGAATAGACTGCCCTCACCTTCACTAATTATGGACTCCCCGTGAAGGGAGAGGACAAGTAAGGGATACACATTATAAACAGAGATACACAAACCTTATACAGGGAAGACTGGACCTTTAAAAACACTTTTGCCAGATGGTTGGAACAATTTGGGGGAAGGGAGAGCAGGAAAACTCCTTTTAGCTTCTGCAACTTCCAGGAAAGGAGTTTCTACTCTTTTCCTAGTGAATAACTGCTCTACCGGAGTCTCATCATCTATGTGATGTGTGGACAGGGATAAAAGAATACTTATGCAGAAGTGTGAGGATTCCGTGGCAAGGACGGTTTGTGTGGGTGGGCAGGTCAGTAAAAAGTTCTGCCAGTAACTGACAAGGAATGAGCTCTTTCTGGTAGCAACCAATACTTGAGTTGAGAGATGAGTGGGCAAATCCCATTCCCGGTGGACATGCCAAGAGATGCAGCAGTAAGGTCCCGTAGGGGCAGGAGGCACACAACACCTTTCAGCCAGGTTTCTTGTCCTCTGTGCAGGGAAATAATGAGTCAGGGCTTCATTCTGGGGGCCTGCTTATCAAATGCCCAAGGACAAAGAGAGGACAATATGGCCTGGGGCTGTGGCTCCCTCATCAGGTGGACTTCAGGATTCATTGGTCATCAGCTTCCAAGGTCTCCGCTGTAGACGTCTCATGTAGGATGTGTCACTTCTGGAGACAGCACATCAGGTAAACTAGATATTCATTCATGTCCATCTTTGACATTCTTGGGATCTTACTGGTATACCTAGTGAGTTCTAGAGGCTCTATCCAACTAGCATACTGCACCATCCCATCAAATGAGGACCTCAAATAGCATCTTTAATAATAAGCATAAATGTAGTGGGCATGGTTGCAGTCTAGGTAGCTATTGGGGCAGCCTCTGGGCCCACAGTTCTCAGGCAATGTCTCCAAGAGAGAGAAAAGATGGTACATATCAAGTAAATAATGCATAAATGTGCAGCAGACTCAAATGTGCAAGGAGATCCATAATCATTTGGTTCCTACCTCTGCAAATTAATGAACATAATGTGCCATACATGGAGGATTTCTGACCTGCAAAGCCCAGCAATTAAATGACAAGATAGCCCAAGTCTGAAGAAAAACTGTGCCTTACCTGGAGACATGGAGGAATCGTAAGAACTTCTCTCCTTGCGGTTCATCTTGAAGGCTTGGATGTCCTTTTCCCTGTATGTCCCAAAGCCTTCGTAGCTCCTCCTTTTACTCCCACTCACGTCACTGTCCCACTTGTCATTTGAAGCGTTCATTTCACTGAACACGTCCAGGCTCTCTGGTCTTGTGCTGCCACTGTCACTGCCACTGCCAGAGTATCTTTTCGTGCATGAGTCTGCAGGCTCACTGCTCAAGTCACCTTTGTCCTTGGCCTGCGTCCAATGCTGGGCATCAGAAAGTGACAGTGTAGACAGGGTGTCCACCTCAAAGTTACTCTTGGAAGCTTTGTGGGCGGCTTCACTGTGCTGGTGCTTCTGCTTCTCCTTATGCTTGTTTTTCTCACTCACCAACGGGAGCTCCTTGTCTACACTGCTCAGCCGTTCACTCAGGATGTGGCTGGAGAAGCCTGTGGCTTTGCCTGCAAAGAGACCGCTCAGGTTGTCGTGGGTCCCCAGGATCCGGTCTTCCTTGTGCTTATGCTTGTGTTTGTGTTTCCTCTTGTGGAGCCGACCGCTGGACAGACTGGCACTGCCCACCTTGGGAGGATTCAGGGATGGCTGCATGTCACTGAGGCTCATGCCTACAGGGCCCTGCAGGTGGACTCCATGCTTTGCTTTATGCTTAGCTGTACCAGACATCTTCACGTGGGAGCTTGTGTGGAACTGAGGTGGTGGCACTGTTGGCCTCATGAATGGGGAAGCTGCTCCGAGTGTGTGCGATAGGTACAAAGGAGCTGGGTACTGACTGTAATAACCAAGGTTCATCATAGGCATTGATGTGTAAGGCATTCCATAGGGTGCATAGTAACTTCCACTGGGAATAGGGTAGCTGAACCCTTGTAAAAAAGGCACCTTTGTCATGGTGTCATTGGTTTTTGCAGGCCTACCACGCTTCTTCTTCGACTTCAAGTCTGAAGTCCTACGAAGATAGAGCAACGGGTCATACTGGATATATGGCACCGGGTAATAGTGATCAAAATTAATCCGAAAAATGCTGGGATACGGATTCTCATGGTAAAAGGTGTAACTCCGGTGGGAGATCCTGAACACCTGGAACTTGGTGATGAGCTCTTCCAGGTCTGCCAGAAACTGGAGATCATCACGGTTTTGCAGGCTTTTCCGTTTCCTCTTGTGCTTTGGCTTCTTGAGGCTTTCATGGGCCAGAAAGTTGTCCACGATAAGATGCTTCTGCCGGTGGCCATGACGGTTCTTTGTGCTGGTGTCGGACGGAATGGCCTCTGGGTTGTCCAGGGAGCAGAAATCAAAAGAGTACCTCCGTCGGGATTCTGAACTCTTCTCTGCTTGGTCAGATGTGCTGTTGTTGTCTGTCCCAATGCCACTGTCGCTCGGGATCGTCTCCTCACTGTGCGACTCGCTCACAGGGGACAGTGTTATTTCCTTGAGTGACCCAATCTCGCAAAGGTGTGAAGGTGAGTTGGCCATCAGCCTGGGTGGAGACAGCTTCCAGGTTCCACTATGTATTCCCTTTTGGGTTTTGGTTGGAAGAGCACTGATGGGCTGGAGATTTGGCATAGTTTTTAACTCTGAAAAATTGGTTTCAGTGCTGGCGGGGCTCAGGTTGCCATTTGACCCACCTAACTGTGTTGAAAGTGGGTGCATAGCTGCTGGTGAAGATGCCACAAGTGACTGAAAGTTGGAAGGCACGGCTGGAACATCCGGCTGGCTAGAAACAGGCCTTGGGTGCTTGATGGCTGTTTTGGGTTCTTCGGATGGGGGTGGCAGCTCTGCTCTTGGCTTCCTGCCCCTCTTCTTGCCAATGTAGATGGTTCCCCTCTTGCTGACGTTAATCTGCTTGCCCAATTTGCTCTCAATTGCTGCTGCCCCAGGGCTGGTCTCTGGGGGAGCTTTAGCCTTCAGAGCAATGTTGCTGGAGCAGGACAAGATCTGGTTCAAGATATTTTTCCTCTTGAGTGTTTTCATCTTATTGATAGTTTTGATGGTCTTCTTATCCAACACCCCAAGCTTTCCAACTTTTTTGTGGAATTTCATCTCGCTTATGGGTTTGTCCTCTCCTGGCACTAGCTGGGCCAACTTAGCTAAACTGCGTCGTCTCTTTCTTTTCTTGGTGCCAGGAAACTCCCGGCTGATGGGACTGACTGGACTGGTGGAAGTCCCCTCATGAATCGTCTCAACCGTGAGCAAAGGCTGCTTCTTTGGTCGTCCCCGCTTCTTTTTGACTGGTGTGATCACAGTAAGACTGTCTGTGTTGGTGTACAGAGGGCTGGATGGGGTGATGGGATAAGCAGACGGTGGCTCCACCATCAATTTATCGGAGGTGGCCAGGACTGCCTCTCGAAGCATACTAGTGGGTTTTGGTTTGCTGCACGTCCACCTCCGTTTTGCAGCGAATTTTGGATGTTGGAATTCTGGCAGCTTTCTTGATGGAGAGTGATCTGCGCATGTTGGAGGCGTCATGACCATGGGTGGCTTCCGCTGTTTAGACACACCTCCTGGGACAACTTTCTCAGCATTTCCACCAGTTTCAAGGCCAACTGAAGGGGACTCATTCTCTATCATTTTACCCAACTTTGGGACCCGGGGATCTTTCTTATTTCCCTCAGGGTTGGAAAGTATCCTATTAACTACTTCACTGCTCATAGTGATTCCAGAAGCCAGGGCTTTCTCTGGCATAATCTTTTCCACCACTGCTTTGATGGACTGTCTCTTTTTCCTCTTATGGTTAGTTGGATCTAGACAGGGTGCCTTGATAGGGATAGTAATCCGGACATGACTTGAGTCATTTTCAGGATTACTGACAGAACTCACATTCTGCCTGGCTGGTGATGCCTCTTGGGCATTATCTGCAGAGTAGCCTTCCCTTTTCCCTTCTGTATTGTCAAATGCTTTCTGGGCATTCTTGACCCAGTCCAGGTCTGGGTTTGGTATGGTTTGACTCATCACATCTTTTTTATTGGACTTTTTCTTGCTGCCTATAGTAGGTGGTTCTGGGGGCTCCTTCGCACCTCCTCCATCTTGATCTACCAAAGGCTGAAGCCCATTGCACTCAGCAGAGCTGCTGGGTGGGGCTGGTGAGCTGTGGTTGCTTGGGGATGGAACCACACCTCCCAAGAGCAGATCTTTGCTGCTGTTGGACAACTGACTCCATGTGCTCCCTGCACTGCCCTTCTTACCCTGGGCCTTTGCAAAGGAAGCCACGGGCTCAAGAGCTGGGATCTTGCTGGTGCTTGCAGTTTCTCTGCCAGACTCTGGACTGATGAAGCAATTCTGAGTGGCAGGTCCACTGTCAGAGTTGGTGGACCAGTCCATGTGGTTCTGGCTGCTGCTTTTTTGCTGGTGCTTTGGTTTTAAGGTGTCACCGGTGAAGTCCTGCGGGAGGCCTGGGTCATAATGGAGAGCTGAGTGTTTCTGCGGCCGCTCGTAAGCCTAAGGGTGGGTGGAGTGGAGAAGGGGAGAGAGAGAGAGAGAGACAAAGATGAGCATGTTGAAGCTATTTAAAACTTAATGTCAAAAGGCTTAATTATTTGAAAGTTGGAAAGAACCACCTTTAATTCCAAAATGCTTTACAGAGGTTTTCTCAATTGCAGTAGTAAAAATATGTCATACTGATTTTGAACATTAATAAGGAGGCTTTAATCGCTGTCATTCCTCTCCTAAATAACAGGAACTTTAACCTGTTTTGGTTTAATGTAATCTCAGAATGAGAACTGTTTAGAGAGAGGAGGGGCCTAAAGGTCACTTAGCCCGATGCCCAGATTTTACAAATGAAGAAGCTGAAACTTCAGCAATGGAGAGTCCTGCCCAGGGTGGCAGTGTCCAGGAGAGAATCCGAACTTCCTGACTCCTTGCCTTTTTTGCCTGACTCAAGCTGCCTCTTATTTCTGTCCTGGCTTCTCTGCAAACATATATCTTCCCTTTGATTCATCCTATTTCATTTCATTTCTGTCTGCACTTTATCCTGGAGTTCAACATCTCTGTACTCCATACTCACTCATTAGGAACCACTACTAGAAGGAAAAACAGCACAAGTTGAGGAATTAAGCGGTGCGGAGGGGGTTGGAAGACTACATGGGGAAAGCGGGCCAGTCAAGGGCATGGAGAAGAAATGGAAGAAGGAAAGAAACGTGAAAGAGCCTTCAAATCTTTGCCGACTCAGGAGTGGGGCTGTGTTTGGGATCCTAAGGCATCCTTAAGCCCACATTAGGCGTTGACTGCTCTCTTGAGGAAACTCTTGGATATTCTCAAAAGGAATCTTGAGTCTCCTGGACAAACGCGCCAGGAAAAAATCATTATCATTCAAGATCACTCCTCCAAATTTTTTTCAGCTGTGTTTCCCTCTACATCGATTTCTAAATAAATGTCTTAAGACTTCAGCACCTTCCTTAGGACTGACTCTTCAGTTAGGAAAGCAGAACCTCTGCTAAGAGGCCCAACATAACCAGTGTCTATAATCACAAAGGGAATGGATAGTGAACACATCATCTTGAGATATTAAAACTATTTTTAATATAGATATGCTTGCATCGTTCCAGATAGATTTTAAGCTATGCTACCAGTACAAAGCAGAATTCTTCAAAGCTTATGATAAGTCCTGTTTTACACGTGGAGTAGTAAACTTACCAGATGCGGTACCCTAACATTTGTTAAAGAAGGGAAATGATTGGTAAATTAAAGAAAGCTTTGAATAATATCCCCACTGAGAAGTATACGATGATTGGCTTAGTGAATTTAGGAAGTTTTAACCTGTAGTATGTATCTGTCTATGATCTGCTTATCTATCTCTCTATGAATTTGCCATTGACACTATGGGATTTATGCTTTATTAGAAAACCTTTCTTATGGTCCCTGTTGAGAGTCAAAATACAGATGGCAGAAAGCATTACTGGTAAAATTCAACGCAGTAAAGCAACTAGGGTTTCCTTAACACTAGTTTCTGGAATCTTAGGGCTATTTTCTGCCTCCTCAATTTTGTGAAACTCTGTTTATACTTCCAGTATTGGACTATATTTTTTAAGTATCATGAGAGAATCTCCCCAAACTAAGCCTATAAGTGCCCAGGAGAAAAGTAAGACAAAAAATTTATTTAATTTTTTCTTCATCTCGTCATTTTTAGTAAAGACACCACCATCATCAACATCTAGAGAACTAATCCGGCCACTTGACTTTGTCTGGTAGGTATTACTGCTGTGGACATAGGCTGCTATCCCATTTTTGGAAAAAAATATAGAAGTCTTATTCATGGTATAAAATATTAAATGCTACTTACTTAGCTTTTATGAATCTGGGCGTTCTTAATTCGTCATTTATGCTTTGGATTTTAGTTGGCCCTATGTATCCACTCAGAGGATGACAGGTCTAGAAGACGGCTTGGAGACAAAGTTTGCCACTTCTTAGGGTGACTATATAATTGATTACTCTCATTTTTGAGAGGTAATAGTGGCACTTATTAAAAATTACAGTGGGACAAAAGGTGTAAGTTATTATTTTGGATCTGAGCAAAATAGGGCTTATAGTCACCCTCTTTCTCCTACCTCCCTGGCACCAATCCGCCTCCACTTTTTTAGATCTGAACACTGAAGTCCACAGAGGGGCTTCATGGTGAAGCTGGGACTAAAATCTTGGTCCTTGATTCCCAGCAGTTTTTCTTTATTGCTCCATATTATGCTGGCAGAGTCCTTAATTCACTCTTTCCTCATGTTCCAATCTCAGCTCAATCCTAGGGAGGCCCCTCTACCTTATAGAAATACTTCTATTATAGTTTTCATGAAACCACGTATCTCATCTTTGTTGTATATATCATAGTTTTAATTTTACACTGATCTGTGTGCTAATTGAACTAATGCCTGTGTCCCTTTCTAGCCTGTAAACACCATCACAGACGTACCAAGGACAGTGCCTGGCAAATAGCAGATACTCAATAAACATTTATTGAATAAATAAAAAACATACATTTTACTATGGGTATTTCATTTTGTCAACAGTGAGATTAATGACTTGTATATTGGAACATATTTTCTGCAAACACAATCACCCCCTCCAGCCTAATTTCTTATGCCATTCCTTCTGCATGCACTATTGTCTCCCATAAAGATATCTATCATAATCCTTATAATGCTATGTGCCATTTATTTGTGTACTTTTCTGTCTCCCTTTCCTAGACTGTAAGTACTTTGAGGTCAGAGACTCTCTCATTTATCTTCTTATCCCCGATTCCTACTACAAAGCAAACCATCCAGAAAGTTCTCAATAAATGTTTGTTGAATGAATAAACAAAGTAATGTTTGAGGTACCTATTACCATGACAAAATACATGGCTGCATACAAAAGACAATAAACCATCCATCAATTGTTTGATAATGGTGCATCATGAAATTGGAGCACTCAAATGCATTAGTGTTGAACGAAAATCCTTCCCAAATACTTAAGTGTCTTGCAAGGTAACTCCCCTTCAATGCGATTTTTCCTGTTAGCTCTCCCCCATCTTCTGTTCATTGTTTCACTTGCCAATTAACTCTGCCTTTGGGTAAGGCCATGGCCTGTCAGAAGGCTGGATTTCACTCCGGCAATTGAAAGGTGAGGCCTGCTCGCTGAAACCCAGGCAGACCAGCTGAAAGTCGCGCAGTTAGCCCTGCCCTGTTCCCAGTCCTTCCGTCTGGATGCTGCCTGATCCCATTGTTCTCCTGTTTCAGCTGCAATTTGCCCTGCTTGGAGGGCCAGGAAATCAAAGGGCAGGGTGGACAAAGGGGAAGCACAGCAAAGGATGGGGGTAATGGGGGAGAGGGGGCTTTAAACCTGCATTCAGATGGGCTGCAGGGAGGGGCAAAGAGGACCTAGAAGGGGTGCTTTCTAAGGGGTCCAGGAGAACAAGGCTTTCTTCCAGCAGGCACTGATGGCTATATCGCGTTGCATTGCATGAAATCCCATTTCTTCGTGTGTCAGCCATGACATATGACATACACAATGGTGAGGCTGTCAGTCCCAATATGTCCTTCAGTGAGAACTGAGTACTTATGTCATTGAGACAGAGATGGACACGGCAAAATAGGTCCTTAGTTCAATGCTGGGGCAAGCTGGGAGAAGGCTGAAGTACAGGCTCTCCGTCCCATCCTTCTCCAGTGGTCTGGGGATATGCTTCCGCATGGGGGTGTTCCACTGGGAGTATAATTAACACACATAGCACATGCTTCCATTTCCCTTTAGAGTATGAAGTTTTCTGGGGGATAAAACCTGAATCTTTTAACGTCTTTATAGTGTCCTCAGCCCTCAGCATGGCTGTCTCCTGAAATGGTTAGCAGATAAGGGAAGAGCTGATGATATTCATCATTGGGCTGATTATTTCTGTGGAAAATATTTTTTCTTTTTTGGTGAGGAAGATTGGCCCTGAGCTAACATCTGTGCCAGTCTTCCTCTATTTTGTATATGGGATGCTGCCACAGCATGGCTTGATGAGTGGTGTGTAGGCCCGCGCCTGGGATCCAAACCCATGAACCTTGGGATGCTGAAGCAGAGTGTGTCAACTTAACCACTATGCCACCAGGCCAGATCCTGTGGAAAACTTCTGATACCAACTAAGCTCAGTGTGCCTCTAGGCTGCTCCCCACCCTCGTAAATTGATTGTTGGTGGAACTCATAGTCATTTTGAAAGTGTGGCTTACTTTTATAAGAACAGGGCTTTCCATGCATGTTGAGCCTAGGCCAAATGTTCATCGTGAAACACCATTTTGAAAACACTAGACACATTTCTCTCCTAAACGATGTGTTTATGGAAGCAAGTCCTTCTGTAACATGAAGCATTATTTTAAGTAGATAACTATCCCCTCCCCCACAACCCATGTATAAATCATATACATTTAAATTTTGTACAAGTCAGATTTCTTTTTAAAAAGTACTTTATTCTTATCTGAGTTCTAAAACAAGCATTCGGTCACTGCATAAAAACTTGAAAATCCATAAAAATGGGGAGAAAATGAGTCACTCAGCCTTATCTCAGGCTTACCCAAAGCAAAGTTTGTTGCAACAAGGAGAGAAGATAGCGATTTGGGTCTGAGAAAAATCATATAACTCATCAAAAATCAAGCATGACTTTGTGGGAGATAAACTACACTTCTGGGTTAGCTCTGTTTGTGCTACTTTCTGCTGACACTCATAATTTAACTTTACGTTTTGTGAGATATTTTGCTTTACATGAGCAGGAAAATATGCCTGGGTATGAAGGAATGAGGGAAGCTTTATCTCTTATTTTGGTCCTTGGTGCTTCTCAAGACATGGTCCTGGATCACTGTAGCAGCACCAACTAAGGTACTTATTAATTACTTAGTAATTATTAATACAGATTCCTGAGCTCCACTGCAGATACTCTAATTCACAATCTCCCAGGGTGGGACCAAGGAATATCCATTTTAACATGCTTCCGAGATAATCTGATG